CTCCGGAGCCCCAAATCATTGGAAAAACACAGCGTTTCGCGACTTTCCTACCTTTTCGCGCATCTGCATCTTCTTTCTTCTGACTCTTTCTCTTTCTACTCTTCTCTCTTCTAATCTTTCTCCTCTCTCTGCCTCTGCCCCGCTCTGCTTTTCATCTGTCCATATTGTCCTAAGTTTGACTTCTAAACTTCCTTCGCCGAAATAATTTTTCCCGAGAGCGTCTGAGCGCAGGGTTCTTCCAATAGTGGGGGTCTGTAAAACATCTTCTCATCTTCACATCCTCTCATCTTCACATCTTCTCATCTTCACATCTTCTCATCTTCACATCTTCTCATCTTCACATCCTCTCATTTCACATCCTCTCATCTTCACATCCTCTCATCTTCACATTTTCTCATCTTCACATCTTCACATCTTCTCATCTTCACATCTTCTCATCTTCACATCTTCTCATCCTCCCATCTTCTCCTCATCTTCTCGTCTTCACATCTTCTCACATCTTCTCACATCTTCTCACATCTTCTCACACCTTCTCACATCTTCTCACATCTTCTCACATCTTCTCACATCTTCTCACATCTTCTCATCTTCTCACATCTTCTCACATCTTCTCACATCTTCTCACATCTTCTCATCTTTACATCTCATCTCACACCTTCTCCTCTTGCCCTCTTGCCCTCTTGCCCTCTCCTTCTTTTCTATTTCTCTCTTGAAGGCGGGAGCAGGGGCAGTGCCAACGAGACGGCAGGAAACGCAACCCTTTCGCACGAAATGAGGTTCGATCGTCAAAAACTGAGGTAAAATTGCGATTTCAACTTGTCCCGCGCAACCCTTTCGCACGAAATGAGGTTCGATCGCCAAAAACTGAGGTAAAATTGTGATTTCAACTTGTCCGGCGCAACCCTTTCGCACGAAATGAGGTTCGATCGCCAAAAACTGCGGTAAAATTGCGATTTCAACTTGTCCCGCGCAACCTTTTCGCACGAAATGAGGTTCGATCGCCAAAAACTGCGGTAAAATTGCGATTTCAAGTCGTCCGGCGCAACCCTTTCGCACGAAATGAGGTTCGATCGTCAAAAACTGAGGTAAAATTGCGATTTCGTGTTTCCGGTGAACCCTTTCGCACGAAATGAGGTTCGATCGGCAAAAACTGAGGTAAAATTGCGATTTCAACTTGTCCCGCGCGACCCTTTCGCACGTCCCTTTCGCACGAAATGAGGTTGGATCGCCAAAAACTGAAGTAAAATTGCGATGTGTGTAAAAGCGTCTGTGTGTAAAAGCGTCTGTGTGTAAAAGCGTCTGTGTGTAATAGCGTCTGTGTGTAAAAGCTTGTGTGTGTAAAAGCGTCTCTGTGTAAAAGTGTTTGTGTGTAAAACTGTTTGTGTGTAAACTTTTGTGTGTAAAAGCGTCTGTGTGTAATAGCGTCTGTGTGTAAAAGCTTCTGTGTGTAAAAGTGTTTGTGTGTAAAAGTGTTTGTGTGTAAAAGTCTCTCTGTGTAAAACCCTCTGTGTGTAAAAGCGTCTGTGTGTAAAAGCGTCTGTGTATGTCTGTGTGTAAAAGTCTCTGTGTACAAAAGTGTTTGTGTGTAAAAGCGTCTGTGTGTAAAAGCTTCTGGGTGTAAACGTCTCTGTGTGTAAAAGTGTTTGCGTGTAAAAGTGTTTGTGTGTAAAAGCGTCTGTGTGTAAAAGCGTCTGTGTGTAAAAGCGTCTGTGTGTAAAAGCGTCTGTGTGCAAAAGCGTCTGTCTGTAAAAAGTTCTGTGCGTGAAAAACTTTTTGAAAGATACGATGCAAAAGATACGATGCCATATAATATTGTCTTGATACTACTCTTCTCGTCTGCCTGTAATACATCTTTAACATATTGTCTTGTAATATAGTGTCGCCATACTAACAGCAGAAGAAGACTCTGCTCCTCTACGCTCTCGGGCCATCCGTCGTCTAGTTAAACAATCGAAGGAAGTTTAGAAGTCAAACTTCCGACAATATGGACAGATGAAAAGCAGAGCAGGGCAGAGGCAGAGAGAAGAGAAAGATTAGAAGAGAGAAGATCAGAAGAGAAAGAGTCAGAAGAAAGAAGATGCAGATGCGCGAAAAGGTAGGAAAGTCGCGAAACACTGTGTTTTTGCACCGATTTGTGGCTCCGGAGGGTCGAAAAGTAGGCTCGCTAAAGCGGCGGGTGCGGAGCCAGCTGGCCAGATGAGAGATGAAAATTTGCACGCCGTTGTGGCGCGAAGCACATTTTGAAGTCAAAATGTACAAAGCACACCATGGTCGGACCACTTTTGGAAGTTGCGATGTCGAAAAAGTGCACGCCGTTGTGGCGCGAAGCACATTTCGAAGTCAAAATGTACAAAACACACCATGCTCGGACCACTTTTGGAGGTTCAGATGTCGAAAAAGTGTACGCCGTTGTGGCGCGAAGCACATTTCGAAGTCAAAATGTACAAAACACACCATGCTCGGACCACTTTTGGAAGTCGAGATGTTGAAAAAGTGCACG